ATCGGATATGCTGTGAACTCGGTTTCCTCATGAGATCGTCGAGTCTTTCCATAGACACGTCCAAAACAATGTATATGTCAGCAAGGTCTATCTAGGATCTGAGTTATGTTCAGGGATTTTATCTTTCCAAATGGCAAACGGAACATAACAAATAAGTACGTCTATGCGAAGCGCTTTAAAACCACTGCACTTCACGTAGTACAGAAGAATGAAGAAGAATGAAGGCGTCAGAGATGTGATGTGGAAGTGTGGATGAGTGGGAGCACTGAAGAGATCCGAAGCCCTTAGTATTCACAGATGTACCGCCCTTTTTCAATCTAACACCCACCCACTTAAGTACTTGAGTTGAAGGTGGGTGGAGCGATATTTTGAGTGAATGTGCTCCTTTGTATTTTTTGCTAGGGTCCCATGAAGGTCCTCACACAAATGCCTTTATTATTCCGGCTTTCAAACCCCTAACTGATAACACGAAAACGAGGTCGACGACGTCACTGAGCAATTGATGCTGATGTCAGCATAAAAAGCCAAATCACGTGCATACATTGCAAAGCGAGCAGGCGGCCTTTGCTAACTATATCGGTATACATAGCAGAATTTTACTATGTATAGCCTAGATAATGTCAAGTTGCGGCTAAACTCTGTGAAGCCGCGTAAAGCCCCAAGACGGATAAGTGAATCACCTTAAAACCATCTAAAAATTACTTCGCTCACCCAAGAACTGATTACGGTGTTTACGGTTCTATGAAAACATCTTTTTTGGAGTATTTTTACTGGCGCTATCGCAAGATGCGGGGGAATTGTGGTGGCAATGTATTTAAAACAACGTAAAGCATAGCTTTCTTGTGAAAAATGGGAGTATGCCTTAGGCGGGCAGGAGAGGCCCCTGCGTGGGTAAACTCTGCTTATTTCCCCCGCTCCTGCCCCTTTATAGGCCCAGTCCCAAAGGATGCCCCCTATCTTGCTATAGCGCCTTTTTACTTTCACAACGACTTACGCCACCCTCACAAAGAGGTGCGACCAAGGAAGCAAACATGCAGTAGGAGAGACAAAGGCTGAAATATTGTGATATGGGGTTATTCAAGAGAACTGAACCGTGAACAAAATGGCTCTGACGTCAACATTTCTTGCGCTTCCTGTCCGTCGATCAGCTCCCCCCGTTGCACTTGGCCGTCTCACTTCACATTCACACTGACACGTGAGCTGCTACGGTAACAAACAGACACAAAGTCCTGACCTTTAAGGGAATAAGGAAGAACATCTCCGAGAGGAAAGCAAGGCCGTACTGAACGATTTTGCCATTACGGAGTGTTTTCTCAGTGTTATTGCGCTTTTCCATCAAAAACGTAAGCCATTCAGATTAGCCAGCTCAAATGATTCAATAGCTGTTTGCCTGATGAAATGATCTTCTCATATCCACGTTCTCCCGAGAAATTAGGCCAGTGTGCATACACAACTACAATCGTACGATTACAGTAATCCTTCAACAACATATTGAGAAGGTTTCAGCTCGTCATTTAGGCTTCTTAAGTGGGTTTTGTGAAAGATAGATAAGCTGTACAAAAATGGCCCCCAAAGCCCACCTCCACATGTCTGGTGATACGCGATTAGGAAAAAGGTTTATAAAAAAAGCTGCAAAATATCATAAAAAGCTGCAGAAGATAATAAACGAAAGCAAGCTGAAGAACGATGCAAGCCAGAGTCAACCATTAAGTTAGGGAATATTTCGGATCAAGCACCATCCTTCGGCGCTATCACAAGATAAGGGGGCGTTCTCCTAGGACTCGGCCTGGAAGGGAGCAGGAATTTTCGAGGGAAAAGGAAACCGCTCGCTCCTGGGCTCTCCCCTATCCTTACCGTTCACTGAAGCTTAGTTTTCAGGAAAAAAATTAGAGGTTTCACGTAGTTCCAAATGCACTACCACTATAGTGCCCCTGTATCTTGCTAGGAAACATTTCGAATCAGGCACAATCCTTGGGCGCTATCGCAAGATAGAGGGCGTTCTCTAGGACTAAGCGTGGGATGCGGGACGAAATTCGAGGATGAAAATTGCCCTTGGGGTTTCCGCACCCGGAAGTCCCCTAACCCCTCATCCTAACTTTGGCTCAGTT